TTCTTCAGCTTCATAATTAAAATGTCTTGCAGCTTAATGTCAAGAACTGATGCCTGGACAATCTTGTTCGGGATTTTCTGGTAATGAGGTGAAATAATGGTTGCATCAATAGGGAAAAGCCGTCAAATTAAATTAACAGTCCCAAGACCATCACAATATCATTGCAATGTTTCACTTTAGAAAGGATGTTAATTTTACAGCAGATGTGATGGGACTTTTGGAAATGTTCCACTTTTGTCCCATCAGTTCAAAGAATATTCTCCCAAAAGTCTTATAAAGATGTTTTAATGTAAATGTGTGACAGGTCTTTGTGTTATTTTGGGTCACAACAATTGTGACCTTTGAACTCTACCATCCATGCTATATGAATTTTAAAATGTTGAGTGATATGAAACAACGTGATTTTAAAAAAAGCAAAAGCAAAAATATTTTTTGTTGGGGGAGCGACTACTTTTTGAAAGACCGTACCGAACCAAAAATATATAGTAGTTGGAAATGTTTGGCTTATCTCTAAATTAATTGTGTCTCAGTATTGAAATACTAAGTTAATCTGATTACATGTTTTTTCAGCTATTGGAAGAGTCGGTGACATTCCCAAAGAAGTTGTCTCAACCATTGCCACTGTAGAGGGCCAGTCCCTCTCCTGCGATATTCCCTCCATCTCTACTGGTGATGATGTTATATGGTGTGTTACCACTGAAGATATTTGCACCAGTGCTCTCTCTGCTTCTATTTCAGCTGAGACCCTTACTATGCCTACGAGCTCTGCTGTTATCACTATCGATGATAGTCACAGCTTGTCTGGAGGAACCTCGGTCACCACCAGTGGTCACACCCATGCACTGCTAAGTGGTAACCGTACCAGTGCTGACAATGAGTGTCTTTCTGCTGTGCCCAGTGGTTTGTCCCAGCACAGCATACTTGGCAATACCTCATCCAGTACACCCTACAGGTACTTTTAACTCTGTTAATTTTCATATCATCCATACAGTCTTGTAATCTTGTAGTTTTTATAAATTTGTAGCAATGGACCTGTTTTAAGTAGAGGCTTTTATTGGAATACATTTGGGCTACATAATGACTATAAGTTTGACATATCTAAATAAATCTCCTGTACGCTCAAGAACTATGTCAATGAAATGTTTTAATANATATAACACAAAATGCGCACTATTAATTCTGCTGCTCAATACGTCACCTTGCACTCTCTATGCCAGGCGCACACGTTTTGCCACACTGTAGCCAGTGGGTAAAGCAGTTACTGTAGCCTACCTAAAGTCTTTCTTTTGAAAATAAAAACTTAAAACAAACTGCAGTCATGAGTATATATATATTTATCCTTTTAGAGATTTTTTTTCCAATTCATCAGTAGCCGCTTGTGAGCATAAATATGAATGGAGCAGACCACGAGCGGACATTATTTTCCTGAATCAGTCGACAGGAGTGGCAGAATTTGCGGCACATTTTCTGAGTAAAAACAGGGAGGACGCTACTTTAGTTAATCATTAGTTGTTTTCCCCTCTCATAAAAAACAGATTTCGTCTAATAAGTTTAGCAATGATTAGACTTTTTTTATTATAACGAAGTTTTGCATCAAGCTTTACCTGTATCGACAAAGTTTTCACCTGTGATTTATTTGTTATTTAAATAATTTATTAGGAATGATGATCATAGTAAATCCAAGGGCTTTCTAAATGGCCATGAAAAAACTAAACACATAAATAATATCTACAGTGGAGTTTGGAAAAGCAAACAGAAACTTACGCAGTAAACCCAGACTTTTTACGCAAGACATGGTAAGTAAAGAAAACCACTGAAGTAATTTAGTTAACCGAAAACTGTATTTTGAGGGGGGAATGAGGAAAATGACATTTCCGGCACATTTCCTCGTCTGGCTGAATTTTCAATGCGACTTGTAATCAC